CATACTTCAACTATCTGTAGGATCAGGCGCATTTTCAGCTGAGCCACCATAGCAGACTGGCATACTCGGAACCGAGTAGCCTTCTATTTATCATTTAATAAGTGTGACGGGATTGAGTCTTAAAAATGTGTACGTGAAATGAGCTGAAAATTAAAACCTCCTATATAACTAAAAATATTTTGATGCATTTTAATATATATATATATATATATATATATATATATATATATATATATATATATATATATATGCAATTTGCCCCAAACAAAGCGGAAGTGCTACTAGTACACAAGATGCTGCAGAGAGTGTAAGGGAAAATACTAGATAAAGAGAAGGATTGAGGAACAGATAAAAGGAAGAATGGTGATCAAGGCAACAGATGTCGATTGACATTACATTTAAATTGTTGAAGATTATAGTTATCAGGGATGCAAGTAAGAGGGAGGGAGTTCCACTGTCCAGAAGTGCGAGAGAAGATGCTGTTGGAGGCCGTTACATTTAACTGTTTTGATATTAAAAGGGCGGGACCGATATGCCAACTGAGTAGCACGTTTAACTTCATACATGAAAATGATACACAATTAAACGCTCTCCCTTGTTTGTTAATCAAATGGTTGCCAAAAAGTATACTTTTTGGATATGTTTTCATTCTTGTTTTAAAAATAGTTAATGTCATTTCAGAGACAGGGTTAGATTACAGTACAAATCATTGACCTGGAGACGAAAGTACTGACAGCAAAAAAAATCCTTAGCAGATATAACGATGTTATCTTTTGGGCATAAGTATGTTTAAACATAGCTTAAGGTTTTTTAAGAAAATATTATTTTAAGACTATATCAACAATAATAATCTGATTTCAAGGACAACATGTAATCTATATAAACATACATAAATTTGAGATATTTCTAGATCGCTCGGTATAAGGGATATAAAACGTTTATAGATATACAATTTTGAGCATGGACGATTTAAACGATTATCAGAACGAGATTTAATGATTACTAACTTGGTCACCATAAAGCGTTGATTTATATATATATATATCTCTACACGATGTTTGATATATAATGTATATATGTAAATCTATTTAAACTCGGTGGGTGAAAAGAAAAACATGAATAGTACAATTTTCAAGAAAATTGGCATCCGAAGAAAAGTGAAAAAAAAAAAGCACCAGAAACTCCAGAACAGAGCGAAAGAAATCGTCCAGTAACTTAAATCTCTGGTACAAAAAAAAAGCGAGTAATAAGTTAAAACGAAGAGTTCTCAATACTCTAAATAGAGCAAAGTGCGACTATGTATGTATGCATGTATATAATATATATATATATATATATATATATATATATATATTATCTTATAAAACCCAGGTTGTGTGTGTGCCTGTACGTTTATATATTGGATCGGATTTCCTACATTTTTCAACCGATTTCAAAAAACTTCACAGGACTACGTAAAATTACCTTACAGTGGTTCTGACAGCGCCAAAAATTGGGAAAACACAATTGTTTTTGCACGAAATCAATTTGAAAACACGATTAAGAGGCATCGCTAGAATGAAAGGGGGACAACTCATATCGAGTTTTACTTATTATAAAACCCAGGTTGTTTGTGTGTGTTCGTTTATATATGGGATCGGATTTCCTACATTTTTCAACCGATTTCAAGAACACTTTTTTTTTTCTTTTTTTTTTGGCAGGTAGTGTTTCTTATTGTCTTGCACACTTTTTTCTTTATTTTTACATTCAGAATGCTTCAAAAATTCCATTTACAAGACAATTGTTTATAATAAAATTCTATTCAATCGGTAGACTCATAACGGTTGAAAACAATTTTTTTGTTTGGGTTTGACCAATTCGTAAAAAAAAAAAACAAAAAAACAAAAAACTAATTAAGACATGCGTGTCCGTCAACCTTAAACAATAATCTTTGTCAATTTTATTTTTCAGTCTTTATGATGGTCGATACCTGATCTATCTCTTACTGTTACACCCCAGGGCAACGCCGGGCTCTACTGCTACTTATATATAAACAAACCAACTAGGGTAAAACATTCATAATTCTATGTTCTTGTGTCATAAATTTATGAACTTTTGTTCAAAAGTAATGAAGGCATTAATTTGTTTTTGTTCTTGAAACGGAAATTTCGATTTTACTATATACGCAGTAAGGATAAAAAAATCTAAATATTTCAGAGGCTTTTTTTCAAACTGTAATTGGATAGTAATTATGCATTTTTAATCCATTTAAGAGTTTATAGTATAACATACAAATTGACAAATAAACAAAATTTGCAAACTTTCTGACGAAATTACACCACAGAATCAGTATGTCTTTCTTCTATGTGCGGTGTCCCGTCAGGTCTTTGGCCATCTGTGCTCTCCACTACTTCCTGTCCTTTTGTACATTTTAGTAAGGTTTGTCTTTTTTATGTCCCTCTCTAATCCCTTTTCTTCCATACATTTAGACAGGCGAGTTAGGCAGGTTATGCTAATCCTAATATTAAATTTAATAGAAAGATTTTATAACACTTCAACCGACAATGGCAGTGGCTGCACAGTCAATAAATACTAAATGTTTCCATATAAAGAAACAGTTAATATTACCATTCTAAATGATCTACCGTCTGTTTTTTTTTATATAAACAAATAGAATCGTTCACAAGAATCAATGGATGAATGACTTGTTTAAGCACATATCATACGCGTCATTAATAAACATCCTCTTCATAATCTTCGCTTCAATGCAACGACAATTTTCAAATTTTGGTTCAAAACCTTTGTCTTAGTAAACTTTGTAATTGCAATTCCTAATTACAACATTGTTACTTGAAGTTACATAACATGGCGAAGAATGTGATACATTTTCCATACTAAAATGAAGGACGAATGGAAATAGTAAATTAGACTTTCTCCTGTAAGGAAATATTTGGCATTCATTGGCCAATCACCCAGTACGGTTTTCGCTTGACATAAAATCTTTCTCTTAAAACACTTTTTTTTTTCCCCAGGAAAACTGGTTTCTCAAGTCTGGTAGCTTTTATAGCTCTTTCCAGTCTTGATGGGGGTTTCCTTCCGAACCTTCTATTTGAAGAGGTATGAAATATTAACATCTTGATTATATCATTATTTTCATTTCTTGTTACGTATTTTAGTTGTTTCTGCTGTTGGTAGTCCTCACGTGATGTGGTTTATGTTATTTGGTACAGTTCTCGGATGACTTTTGCCTAGACTTTCAGGTTTTACTAGATCAAAACCTTTTTTACACCATTGACCTTAGGAAGAGGTCGTATCTATTCGTGGTTTTAATCTGCCTTCAATATCTCCTGTAAGTGTCAAATTCTCCAAGTCGTTTCCCTCATTATGTGCCTAGAAATTTCAACTCTCTTTCTGCTTATAAGTAGAAGTTTCCTTTTTGTTTCCATTTTCCTCGAAACTTCGTTGTTACTCAGATGTTTAAAGTACGTCCACTATTTTCATGTACTGGTTTCTCATTTAGTCTCTTTTAATGTAGTGTATGATATCTTTATTAGGTTTATCATTGTTCTGACCTTGTGCCACATTTAACTAAGTTTAGTGAATATATTTAATGACTAGTGGATAGGATACATGCTTATTTCTCATCGCCACTGGATGCTCTCCGAACTCAGAAAGCTGTTTCAAACGTTGATTTTTGAAGGCAGAGGTAATCCCTCCCAACTGTTAAAATTGTCATCTTTTTATATTTCTGTTGCCATATTTATTACAACGTTTCGGCCGTTGTACGCTCCGGCCTTCTTCAGGTGGTTGAAATGTTGAATTGATCCCTTTATTTCGCTCACTGGTGTAGATTGTTCTAGTTCCACGTGCCATGTCTAATGGATATCAGTTATCTCCTGTTAAATCCCCTCTCCAAGTTCTCCACCACCTTAGCCAGGTATTGGAACTAACACTCTTTGGGTCCTTTCACTGGATCTAACTAACGCCTTTATCCACTGTGCCATGTGTCCTTGAGTTACATCTGTGTATGAATTTATGGATATTATAAACCTAATGTCTTTAGCAACTATTTTTTACCAGTTCGACATTCCAACCACCTGAAGTAGGCCGGTGCGTACAACGGCCGAAACGTTGTAATAAATATGGCGACAAAGATGAGGACAATAGTCCGAATAATGTAAATAGTGTACTTAAAATCGGCGCAACACAATCTTCCTAACTTACTGTCCCACCTTTTACTCTGCGATGTGTTAGTTAATATCAGATAAATTTCACGCGTCAATTTGCGTATGGATTCCATATTGTCGTCGCGAGAATTCACTTAGGCTGACCAACACTTGAACATAAACGATTTAAACAGATATACGCAAGACGCAAATTCACGTGCAAACGCGAAAAAATATTGAAATCTTCCTTACATCACGTGTCTAATTCTCCATTTAAATCTACTTACTTACCTCTGGCACGCACTCATACAAAGACAAAAGAGAGGGAGAGAGAGGCGCACCATCCTTGGTTCTACAATCAGAAAAAGGCTCACAGGTGGCGGGGTCATATGTCCGGGTCTTGAACATTTTGCGCTGACCTCAATTAGGTCGGAACAGAATTTGTGATGATGAGGACTACCGCTTTCTTTTCTTACTTTTTCTTCGACTTTGTTAATATCTTTAACACTGATGCCTGTGTAGTCATCATCTAACTTTTTCATTTTTTTTTAATCTCTCTTGAATCGGACAAAAAAAAACAGGAGATCGAGTAACACCTCTCGTTTATTTATTTTTTTTTTTACTATCTTTTGCCTCGTTTTCAAGTTTTTTTTTCCGTATTGACTTCTATTTATGTTTCTTCCTCTCTTTTCACATTTTTATATATTTTTTTTATTTTTGCTTCTCTGTATTTCATTTTTTTCCTACTGTGTTTATCGTGACCATTGCTATTTTTTCCTTCATTTTACAATTTTCATTCATTCAAGTTTCTCTCTTGGATTAGAACGCTCAGTTTAATTTCTATTTTGTTCCAAGTTTTCTTCTGCCTCTTCTTCGTTTTCTTCTGCCTCTTCTACGTTTTTTTTTTACTCCTCCTCTTATTCTTCTCTTCGTTTTCTTTTTCACTCCATTTCTTCCCTTATATTCGTCATCTGTTCTTATTTCCCTTCCCCTACTCTTTCTGCTTTCCTTCCTTTTTTTTCATTTTAATTTTCCGGAACTGCTCTCATTCTTTTTCTACCTTACTTTTAATTCTTTTTCTCCTTTATATTTGTCGTTTTATAACTTTGTGTTGTATATACACACACGTGCGTGTGGTTGCGGTCTCTCAGTAAAGAGGAAGAAAACGATAGAGGGAAGCAAGCAAAAGGCTGATGGCGCTCACAGAGATGGAACAAGGGAAGCGGGCTGCTAAGGGTAATGAAAGGATGAGGGGGTGCTTAGCAGTGGTACTGTCTTTGACAGGATCGAGGGTAGACTTGCTTCGTCATTTGGTAGGTCGCTCGCTCGCTCGGCCGCTCGTTCTCTTTGGTAATTCTCTCTGGAAGCGGTACTAGTTTTGGCGTCGTGGGGCGCCGAAGAACACGCTTCATAACACAGCTCATCTATTTTTGCTTTTCTCTTTAAAAAAAAAAAATTATCAAAAGAAAGTGTTCACATTTTGAAAATCCGAAGCCCCAAAATGTGGAAATTAGCGTTGTTTGCAACGATCTTCTGGCTCTCGTCTACCGGTCACTGTCAGGAAAAAGAAAGTTTTTGTAAGTCAACACGTGCATGTTTTCATTGCATCCAGTTTTAAACACGGGAATCTAATATATTTGTTTCGCGGGGAGGGATCCATATTTTAATGTTTTTAATTTTTGTTTACATTTTTATGGTCGTAATTTCAGTCTTGCTTTTTTTTTTCTTTTTTTTTTTTGTATTTATCTTTTTGAAATATACAAAATATACGGTTTTCTTCCAATTATTTTATTCCGACGTGCATTTTTTTTTTATCTCTCGCTGCAAAATTGTGAATGACATTTATGATGAAATGGGGAAAGTGGGCCCTGCACATTTTTGTTTTTGTTGATTTTTTTTTTAACAATTTCTTCAAATTTTTTGTCGTTTTTTTTGTTGTTGTTGTTCCTGCCTTTTACTTTGTTTTCCTGCTTTCCTATTCTTCAGTTTCATTGAATCCTTTTTCTTTCTCCGTTTCTCTCTTTTGTCTTTCTCCGTTTCTCTCTTTTTCCTCTTTGCTTTCTTGTTTTTTTTTTGTTTTGTTTGTTTTGTTTTTTTTGTGAGATACGTTATTGTTCCGCCATTTGAGAATCGAAAATTCTTTTTTTAGGAATTACGCGTAAATGTGGCTATTTAAAAATATTTGCTTAATAAACTCGAACGGCAGTAAAATGTGCAAAATTTTACTTTACCTCTGTCACCTTCTTTCTTATCCGCTTTCATAAATCTTATCCTACCAAACTTATTTAATTTGCGCGTATGTGCATCCGTCTTTAAGGACCTTTCCTCCTGGTTGGGAAATCATAATCCCCGCAATGTCCCACATTTTCATTTTAGGTTATTGTCATCCCTAATTTCTATATTCTACATTTTTTCTACACTTGCTTCTATCATTTTCGAGGATGTTCAAAGTGTCTATGGACATAGTCCTAATCCTTAAGCTTCACACCTTCCTTGCAATGTTTACGATTTTAAATTTCTTTTGTTTTCACCCTGTGGTCCACTAGTATAGATATTTCTATATTCTGGCAGAATTTCCCTTTCGTGTTTCCAACGACCATATCTGGTGTTCTTGTTTAAATAGCGTAGTCTGTCCGGATCGCAAAAATTCTAGTGCATTTTACATCTTATATTATTCAACAGCATCTTCCTTCATACTATTTGCTTACATAGTCGAACCGAATTCGTTTGCACAGTTCTCAGTGTGTTACCAATCCTACTCTGTCGTGATTGCTTTTTCCATTTCTTTTGAGCCTGTTTGATGCTTTAACATATACATTGATTTATCACCTAATCTTTTTCTCCAGACATTTGTTTATTATTATTATTTAGAATGTGGGTGATCATGGATCTCCATGACTTCTTTTCCCTTCGATAAATTGCACGTTGTTTCCCTTTACTCCTTCTCTTAATCCGTTCTTCCTTATAATGTGCCCCAAATAATTCAACTTTCTGATTTTAAGTATGAGTGTTCTTTCTAGTTCCCATTTTTCTCAGCACTTTCACTTTGATCACGTCTTTAGTCTATGATATTCCTAACAACCATCTGTAGAAATAATTCTCTCGCTTCGTGTCACCTCTTAATCAGTAAAGAAACAATCTAACACTCATTGCCATACAGAATAATATATATATATATATATATATATATATAACAAAGCACTTCAGCACTCTTTTCTTTGCTTCTAGTGAAATATTACTTAATACTTGGCTTAGTTTCTGTAAAAACCTCTTTCGATATTCTAATATAAGTACGTAGTATATTTCACAGATGTAAAGAGGACAGATATGAATACATGAACAGATAAACTAAATACAGGATCCAAGATCCACTCTTGGTAGAGGGTTACTAAATAAGGACTTATTTGTATAAGAGGTTACAAGGAAGAAGCACTTAGTACATATTGTGATGATATTTAGGATTATTGATCGCACTGCTTGCACAGGTTCCTGTGACTCTTTGCCGCCATCAAATTCTATTGTTCATCCTATTCGGCAGGTCAGAGAGATTGCAGTTTGCCGTATGTGAAGGATAGCCTGTGACCTTTAAAGTTTGGAGCGTCTTTTCGAGAGTGTTGTACAAATTCAGGATGTTTATGATAGTCCGATTTATAATCCGAAAATAAAGCTTCAAGTAGCCATAAAGCACTTTCAGGATTTCATTCATTAAGTACATAAATTTACGTGGAAACAGATTGAGTTTATTTTCTGAGGGAATGGTTTGCTCGCCTTAAAAAAAGAAGAAAAAAATTCTATAACACACCTTAACCCTGACAATGACATCAATACTAGAAATCTGAGTGAAAAGGTGGTGTAAAACAAGTTACTATATCCCGTCAGGGCGTAGACGATCATGGCTCCCCACAGATTCTTTTTCTTCATCTGTAGATTGACATGCATTTTAAGGAAAGACAAGGTTTGCTTATTTTGTTTTTTATTTTTGTCTATATTTCTGAGAGGAGGTATTATGTACCCTATTAACATTATTCGGACTATTGTCTTCACTTTATCGCCATATTTATCACAACGTTTCAGCCGTTGTACGCTCCAGCCTTTTTCAGGTGGTTGGAATGTCGAACAGAACCTTTATTTCGCTCACTGGAGTAGACTGTTCTAGTTCCACGTGCCATGTTTTAATGGATGTCAGTTATCAGTTATCTTCTGTTAATTCCCCTCTCCAAGTTCTCTACTGCCTTAACCGGGTATTGAACTCACTCTCTTTGGGTCCTGTCACTGGATCTAACAAACGCCTTTATCCACTGTGTCATGTTGTTTTTTTTAATTCATCTCAAGCAAAGCTATAATGTCACTAAGATGCAAGTGGCTACTGGGAGTGAAATAGAATGAAAAAGATTTTAGAAGGAACTGGATAGCCAATCCTAAACGGGAATCGAGGGATAAACCTGCACTTGGAGATATTTTTCCCGTTGCCTTCTCCGCGTTTTAGAATTCAGAATTTTCCTTCTAATCTGGCAGCCACTTAAGGCTAGAGAAACTAGTGTACACTTTTATTTAACCCTTAGCTGTGGGTAATAGATCGATATTTTTGCAAGGCTATTTATGAATACAACAATAACCCAACCGAATTTCACTTTACGCCTATTTCACTTTACGCGCCAATGTCGGCACATTTACAAAAGCGATTACAAATGTTTTAAAAAACGATATATGATAATTTATATCTCCTATAGTAATTTTCGCTAAAATGTCTAAAATTCTTAATCAAAAATATCGACCTTCACTTACTTGAAAGTGTTTACAAGTATATCCATGCCCTTCTCTACTTGGAGGTTTGACAGAAAGCAATCTCCTTACTCTCCGTTCTCTTATACCAATCAGGCTCTCTAAATATTGATAACACTCTGGGATACATTCGGGTGATACATAGTAAGAATCAGGTCTGCGAGACGGTTTTTCTAGTTAGCGTTCTCTGGCTGATGCCTAACCTCATCTCTCGACCAGCTCCAGGTAGGACTTGTCAGTCCAGAAGCACATCCACATATCGAGGTCCTCTGTTAGCATAAGTAGCGAGATTATACAAATCCCCGGCTTTGCTTGTCCTGTCACGTAGCTTACAGCATTTGATATTACCCGGAATACTGACCAGGCTCAACATAGCTATACATCGATGATCAAACAAGAAACGGTATTTTAACACTTCCCAGAATACAACCGTTAAAACGAATACATAATAATAATACGAATGATGACAGGTGTTTATTTTCAAAACGAAATAGATTTCTGTTGTCCATATCAAATCTTTCGCATTAATTAATATAAATCTATAACTTCTTTAGAAAATTAAATTGTTTACGTTTGTATTCGACACTGAGCAGGTATAATAATTTCAAAGAATCTAGGATGAGAAGGATTTCACTTAGTCAATGATTAGCAAAATTGCTCTGTGGCCGAGTCGGTTATGGCATGTCGGACCTAACGACGGTTTCCCTTTGCCCAGAGGAACGCAGGTTCGAATACTGTCGGAGAGCGTGTATTTTTCTTTTAGATTTCTCGAATATTTAGACCGGTAGACGAAAATAAATAAATATACTGTTTAATAAATAAACGGAGCATCTATTCAGATATGAATACCCACTAAAAATAATATTTAAAGTGATAAATAATCTGTCCATTTATAGATAGGTATTAATAGAGCGTAACGCATATATTGCTTCATGTCTCCTCGGAGCAAATACAATGATACATAAGAGATTTTAAAATTGAATTGTTGAAACATTTATTTTTAGTACTAAAGTGTATAACTACAGCGATCCAGAATGATCAGACCATTTCTTTTTAATTAAAAAGTGAAAAAAAAAACATTAATATCCAAGAAAATAACAACTCTGAAATAGAAACTCAAAGGTCACGATGCAGAATATTGGGACATGCTGCTGGAAAACTTCTCTGTTCCAATCCCAACTTTACATGCGAAACTTGCCGGATTTAAAGGGAATAATACAGAAAAAAAAATTAATAATAATACAAAACGCAACTATGTAAGTGGTCTTTTTTTGTACATATTTTTCTGTGTCTATTCGTGAATGGCGGAAATAAATATTGACTCAGTTCATTTTTAGTAATGTCGAGAACACAATCATTGAAAAAGGAAAAAGTAATTTTGTTTTACTTCCTTTTTTTTTTTTTTTTTTTGTAACGCAATATATTCAACTCTCCGAACTCACTAAAACAGGTTCTTCACTTAGTCGTTCTCTCTCTCTCCCTTTCGCTCTCTCTCTCCCTTTCGCTCTCTCTCTCTCCCTTTCGCTCTCTCTCTCTCTCTCTTTCGCTCTCTCTCTCTCTTCTATGTGCCTTTTTTATAAATACTTCCATAGTAATTGTTCTAATAAACTCTCAGCTATGGTAACTGGACTCTATGAATTTAAGCGCAATTAAAGCAATATCTCCTCATTTTAACAGTCGAAATGGGTAGATATAAAGATAATTTCTTTGCTAACAGTTTCTTCTCTCGCACCTCTCATTTGCGGATCTCTCTTCTGGCTTCCAGTCAACTCTGATCACCAAAAATGTAAATGTAATGTCAATCGTTTACTTCTATCTTCTTGATTCTCCTTCTTTTATTGTTCTCGCTCCTTAAAGTTGGTCTTATTTTCTTTAACACTCAGTAAACTCCTGTGTCTTAGTGGCTTTGTCGCCTTGATTTGGGTGAAATGATTAAAATATAAAATGATTATAATCTACTTAAAATGAATAATTGTTTCGAAATCTCAATTCAAAGTTGGATTTTTATGCTCTCTTCTAAACATTATTTTGTTTTCTTACCTAACAAATGGTGCACTAACCAGCAACGCCGTTTGTAAATAGTTTAAGCATTTAATATTTGTTCAGATGTAATGTGTTATATGAATTATCTAACATTCGGTCAGTAGTTCACTGAAGATATTTAAGACACACTGATATTTCAGGAGAAGTTCGGGTCACATATGTGTCAACTCAGCGAATGACACAGAACTGTGCGGAATGCAATTGGCGTCTAATAAATAAATAGAAATACCCAGAATTACCAATCCAGAAATACTTTTGTAAGAATGGGTGAAGAGAGAGGAACAAGAAGCCACAATCGTCAAAAGAAAAAAAAATCTACTGAAGTAAAAATGTTTTTACGTCATATTGCAATACAAGATCAGTTTCGTTTCTGCACTTTTCTGGGTTTTTTTTGGGTTTTTTTGGGGTTTTTTTTGGGGGGGGGTGTTTTTTCATTCTTCCTCTTATCTATATCTCAATCTTATATTTTAAAATCTTTTTTTTTTCTACACTTCATTTACTATTCTCTTTATGTACATCCACAACGACACGAACTGTCACTACCAGAGATCGATGGTCGATATATTCAGATTCAATCTATGCTTAATACTCCATTTTTGTATACGGGTGTCTGACAAACCTAAGCTTGTTAAATCGCTATTTTTATGTTTATTAAATGAAAAGAAAAAAAGTTAGTTCTCGAGCTATAAACCCTTCTTCTGTGTGCCGTGTCCGTTCAGGACGTAGATGAACGTGGCTCCCTTTCTGTCTCTCATTGGTCCCAGTAATAGTTTTTCTTTTAACTGCCATTCTCCCACCGTGTTCTTATGACCGTATGTTGAAACACTGGTTCTCGTACGAAGTTAAGCAACGCTGAAACTGGTCAGCTTGAACTGCTTGGGAATATTAGATGCTGTAAGCTTGGATCTGCGGATGGTATAATGAAAAAACGGTTCGGAATTAGAAATCGGAGAGCAGAGTTCCAATTCCAGTTGTGTTCGTTATAATCACTTGCGTGCAAATAACCTTGGAAAAGGTATAAACGCACCTTTTTCTCTACCCAGCTAGGAAAGTTTAAGAATAGAAATGACAAAGAAACTGGTGCTCATATAAAAAGACAGCTGAAACATTTGGGACACAATTTGAGAAAATAGGGCTTAGAGAAATTAATACGAGCATGGCAAATCGAAGATAAAATAAAAAGCAGGGGATAAACATGCGGGATAATTTTGAGCAAATGGTAGGTGGCAAAAAACACCACAAAGAAAAAGAGGGTCCATATTGGTAGAAATATTGCTGAATTCGACAAACAGAGGAAGCTAATCACCTATGTTCTACAAGGACATAGTACATCCAAAGAGTGTACTTATATATAGTTTATGAAAAACTAGGTAATCCGTATGGGTAAACCTAAGGAGGATAAAATCCGGAGAACTCAATGTAAATCCAGAGCAAATAATTTAAATAAAAACAGACCACTTTAAGGTTCATGTAATAGATTATCACCACAGCCCTTTATATGGAACCTTAAAGTGGTCTATTTTTATTTAAATTATATATATATATAGTCAGGTAATAAAATTTCTGGGGAGTAAAATATAATCTATGGACCCTTAAGGTTGTTTGATTTTTAATTATATATATATATATATATATATATATATATATATATATATATATATATATATATATATATATATAATGGCCTAGGGGTGAGAACGTTCACTTTCTAACGCTAGTTCGAATCTCACCAGGGTTGATTTGTCAAGAAGGTGACTTCTTGATGTTATCGGTCTGGAGAAGGCAATCTCAGCGAGACTTGACACGGACTCACCTAAGACTTGTGAGTGAAACTAGGTGGACGGAGCCCTTGGAGGTCGTCGGTGGTTGTGCTGTCACAAGTCATCGTGACCGAGTGTTTGAGCGTGATAGCCTTGTTGAGACTGTTGATCACGCTAGATAACGTATAACTAAGGATCACTCCGCATAGTTGAAGTATTGAAAGTATTGGTAAAGTCAGTGGGATTTTCATACATATCCCGGAGTAAACTACAATCTGTTCGAAATATTCAGCTTGATGATTTATTTACAATTTAACCCGGTAGCCATTAAGGCCCAAATTGGCAAACAAACAGGAAGTAAAGGCTATAAAAAAAACACCAACAATAAACTGAAATCAGGAATGATGAGAACATTAAATTAGAAAAGCCTTTAAAAAAGTAAAAGTATATTGTACACAAGTACAGTTACTATCTGCCAATATAATCAAAGTGGATTTATTCCCTTTTTGAAGACCTTGATTACCAAAAGGGACAGTGTCCCACTGATTCACTACTCGCTTTTAAAAAGTAATTTCGTCGGATAAAAAAGCAGGTGAATCTTTAATGGATGTCTTCTGTTGGCTTGTAGTAAAAACATTTCTCGGAATCTATTGTAAATTTTACATTTACTATTCTAAATATCTGTATTAATTCAAGTCTACGGCGTCCAGTTTCAAGTGAGAGAAAAATCCAAGACTTAATTCTCTCCGAGTAAGGCATTGTTTAATTTCAGAAATCATTTTAGTAAAGTACTTTTTTGTACTACTTCAGATGACGTAAGGCGGCCACACATATATGAAGTATGGACTAAAATATATTTAATTTTCGCCCTACTGTAATATTTTGATATGTTACTGTATATGAAAAGATTGATATCAATCGAAGTTTTAACGTATTTTTAAATCAGTCCTGTTTGGGATGCCATTTTTTTTTTATAGAAACAATAGGTCATATTATTTTAAAGGCTTCATTAAATTTCTAGTGAATACCTTATCGATGTGTATTTCTAAGATTTTCGTTACTATACACAGATTTATTTTGGTTGTTTGAGGTACATTTCGACCGTTTTACCCTTTTTGAAGTATTCAACAACGTTCTGGGAAATTTGAATCGAACTCTTTAATTAATCAGACATTGAAATTCGATTACTGTGCTATAATGGGATGAGCAGTAGCTTTTTGGGTTTTTTTTTGTTTTGTCTTTGTTTTTTGGGGGTTTTTTGCCTTTTTGTTTTTTATGTCTTTTTTTGTCTTTTGTTTTTCTTTGTCTTTTTGTCTTTTGTTTTTCTTTGTCTTTTTTTTGTCTTTTGTTTTTTGTCTTTTGTTTTTTTGTTTTTTTCGTCTTGTTTTTTTGTCTTTTGTTTTTTTGTCTTTTTTGTTTTTCGTTTTTTTTTGTTGTTTTTTGTTGTTTTTTTGTTTTAGTTTTTTTTTTTGTTTTTTTGTTTTAGTTTTTTTTGTTGTTGTTTGTTTTTGTTTTTTGTTGTTTTTTTTTGTTTTTTTGTTTTTGTTTTTTGCATGCTGTGTCCCTTCAGGACAAGTATGATCATAGCTCTTCGGAATTTTTCTATCCGCTGTACCTGAAAGCTATGTTTATTCCTTTACCATCTCCAAGTTTCTATTCTGCCATACATTTAGACAAGCTCTATAGGTAGATGAGCAGATATGTCCAGTCTTTCCCTCTTGCTTTTAATGTCCTGCGACTCTCAAACTCTTTCCTCGTTAAGTATCTCAGAAATTAAAAATGCCTGTATTATTAGTGCCTGTAGTAGTAGTATTTTCACATCTCATACGATGTATCTTCTCGCATGGACAACGATTGACACGTCTCCTCCCGTGAATGAAAATAAGGCTACCAAAGTGACTGAAATTAAAGTTTTGGTTGAAAATTCCCACGTTGTTACTGAATGTTATAAGTACAGAAATAACACTAGGGAGTACAACTGATGAAATTTTATGACAGTAACAATCAAACTAAGGATATCATTTTGATTATTAATAATTGTTGTTTAGCAACCAATGCGTTTATCTTGGGTATGACGATAAACTACATCCGACAGAAAGATCTCTGATCGGGACATTGGAGGTTTTCAGGAGCGCGGAACCTCTTCTTATTTGCTGCTGTTTCCAGGTCCATCCTGACCCGGGGTGGTAACATCTTTTAGAGTCCCAGCTTTGGTGGACACCCAAACAATCAGTACATTTTTATAATAAAAAGAGCAACAATACAATTTTATAGCAAAATATCAATCAATGCAACAATAAAACAATATCAAAAATACATTTTTATAGTAATATTACCAACAACACATTTCATGATCTACAAACTATAAATCTAAAAAACATAGCTTTACTCGATAAAATTATGTACAGTCTTAACTTTTTCATCAATGAAACCCAATTAAAATAATATATTATAACTATGCCTTTCTAAACTATGTCCTCTACTTGGAAATTTGAATTTATTAATAATAAAATTCAATGTAAAAGTCAAACTTCTCTTTAAACTGCTGTAGAGAAAATCAGCACGCCCCAGTTTTTAATCCTGATTTAATACTGAGGACTTTAGGATATCTACCAACCGCCCCAAGCGGTCAGATGTGACACAAGGCCGAATTTAATGTGGGTTATCCGAACCCGTAGGCTCTCCCAATAAGTCCACATAAAACGAGGTCGGGTAGCTGTTTTCCCGAGACGAGACTCTGTCCTTCGACATAGCTTCGTCTGGGGATCGTCCCTACT